GCTAAGATTGTATTTGTTATTACCATAAGTTTATTAATGTGACATAGTGATTTAGTAACTAATTGAGGAGTCCTGCTCCTAACCGTGTTTGTTCGCGAAATCATGCTTGATTATACTTCATAATCTTTCGTTTGGTTGTTGTTTTCATCCACTAATCGTTGTTCTCATAATGTTAATTGCTGAAATTTATATTTATATGATTGACATACCATTTGGTGTGGAAGAACATTACCTGTTTCAGGTTAATACGAATTAATTACGACTTGTGAGAAATTTATTTTATTAGATTATCAAATTAGCCTGCTAATTGTTATCAATAACGAAAATAAGAAGTTCTTCGAGAACTAAAGCTTTAAGCTGAACATTTTGGTTTTTACAATAGATTAATAGAACAACTGAAATACGTTAAAACTGTATGGAAGCAATATGGAAACATGGCATTTGATATTGTATCTAATGACATTACTAATGTATAGATCACCCGTATTAGTACAATGTAATAGAATGTCACTTTGAAACCGAGAATCGAGGTTGGTACAAAACACTACAGTTTCATATAAGTATTTCATAGCAGGTAACAATGTGATAATAGTATAATCGAAAGTAAACCCCGAAAAAAACATATACGTAAAAGCCTCAATAGTTTCAATTTAACGGAGAGTTTAGCCCCTCTTGAGAAGACAACGAATGGACAGTATAATGTCGCTTCGAAGAAAAAGGCGGCGTCTTTCGAAAAGAAGGCCTCTGCTTGAGATTGTGAAGAGTTCTCTTTGCGTAATAAGTTCTGAATATCGGCATAGCCCTCTCCTTCAACTTGAGAATGAAAAAGAAGAGCAATCTGTAAGCTACGAGAATGGCTGCAACTGCTGCCAGGTCCCACCATTTCGAGTGATCGAGTGTTATGCCTATCATTGAGGTTAGTACTTCTTCCCCTTTCAGTTTTGGTTGGTCGGGATAGAGCGAATCGAACTCGATCCCAATCATGTCGTTTTTGTAGGCTCCCTATATGTAACAAATCCAGTGAAAAAAAAGAAAAAACAGGGGAAGTAAAAGATTCAGTATGTTATATTTATGACTGATTAAACTATTTACCTGTAAGGCCCATGACATGTAATTGATATAGGAAACGGGATATGTCCAAAATATCTTCGGAAGTTCGGGAAGGAGCCGGAAGAAACCTGCTGTAGCCATCATAATGCCCTGCATTAACATGTAACGGTTAGTATTTATAAAAAAAAAAAAAAAAAAAAAAAAAAAAACGAGGACTTACAATTAGACCAGCTCCGAGTATGACCCCCATCATGAAATTGGGAACAACTGCAGCCACAACCATCATGCAGCTCTCGATTACAGCTATAGAGAGTAAAAGGTCGAGTGCTGCATACACGAAATGGAATATTCCAGGGTGAAACTTCACCATGAAATAAGTGATGGATGCTGAACTAAGCGATATCGCAATCAAGAACGGAAACGAAGAGAGGAAATTCGAAAGAATGAACACTCCGACTCCGTAATGTCCGTTGAGCCTTTCCTTGTAAAATACCTGTTTATTATAAACAGAGGAAAAAAAAAACTTACATGCTTCTTCTCCGAAGATGATATTATTTGAATAGTAAGTGAGACTGTGTTTTTCTTTTTTTTACCTTCATTTCTTCGATGAATGATGGGAAGCCTCCAATTGTCATGAATGTCATAAAGCCGGATATAAACCCACCGCATGCTCCCCTTGCTAGAATTGCGTGATAATTGGATCCTACGTTGTGAAAAACGGAACCGACACAGATGGATACTGTAATGAAGACTATAATTCTTAGCCAGTAATACCCGAAATCTCGGGACATGTTTGTGAACGATCGCTTTGTGAGTGTGGAAAGTTGCTTAAACCATGTCGCCTGGCTCCCTCTGGTTTTCTCGAAAACAGGTACGTCCTGCAATATTTTCTCTCTCTATCAGATCGAGTTTTTTGAAAATTTGCACCCCTTATTTGCTGTGTCTGCGTGTGTGTGTGTGTGTTTGTATGTGTGTGTAGTAAGACATCTGTGAATCGTAAATAATCGAAGTAGACAGTGCAAGAAAATATATAAAATGCTCACAGTAGTCGAGAATTCTTTGATTCTAGCTTTAACTCTCGCCGCAAGTTTTGAGTTTCGATATTTCATAAGAAGCCTCGCTCGTATTTCTGCTGTCGTCAAATTGATTATCTTTCGATCAGAAGCATCATTTGTATCCTGTAAGTATGAACCGAAACATAAATATAAACAACCGCATATAAATAGTTCTACAATCATCCGTTAAATTACTCACTCTCATTCTCTGTGAACCCATCAAAGTGTTGTTCACATCATCAAAATCCGAATTCACACATCGTAGAAAATGATCGGAAGGGTTCCTTTTACGCGGACAAGGAAATCCCGCTTCGGCAAAAAACTGCAAAAAAATTCATCAAATATTCTTTAAAATTCAAATTATCTTGTTATATTATATTATATACATTTGATGTTCATTAATTATTATATACCTCTAGTGCAGATTCCACTTCTCCGAAGTAAATCGTTTCGCCGTTCGACAGAAGCAAAAGATCGTCGAAGAGGGAAAAGACTTCACTGCTAGGCTGATGAATAGACGAAATAATCGTCCTTCCACTTCGTGCAACGTTCTTAAGTGCTTGGACCACAAAAAAGGCGGAGGCGCTATCAAGACCGCTAGTCGGCTCGTCGAGAAATAAAAGACGAGGCTGTGTTATGATCTCCAATGCAATGCTGAGCCTCTTCTTTTCACCGCCGCTTATGCCCCTCAAATGCCAGTTTCCGATCAGGTGGTCGGCACATTCTTCGAGGCCCATTTCGGTAATCGTGCTTTCTACTGTCTCGTTTATCTCGTGTTTTGATGTGCTGCTTGGGAGCCTTAAGAAAGCCGAGTATTTGATGGTTTCTCGTACCGTTAGGGTACCCAAGAAGATATCTTCTTGAGTTACGTACGCCTGGTTAAGTCAGTCCCGTTAATTTGTTTCGTAATTTTACGTGTTACCCTATCGGGATTTATTTATTTTTTGTGGTCGTCGGTCAAATGTACATTTGGTAGATATTTACCGATAATCTAAACGGGTTCGTGTTTCTGTGCGCGTGTGTGTGAATGGTAAAGATGATAGAGGGAAAAATTCAAAGGAGTATTTAATATTGTAAAATCCAATGTTATGATATTTCAACTAACCCATTTATCAGCATTAATTATATATATACTGCAAAGAGGCAAATATACTTTTTTTACACTATTCAACTAAGACCAATTTATTGAGACATAAACCAAACCATCTTCAATTCGATTTAGACCTGACCTAACACAATCCACGTGGCAGGACTATATATAGTGTCAAATTTTGACCTAATTTAAGATTCAATAATTCCCATTTATGCAACTTTACAATAAAAATAAAATAAAAAATTTGGGGATAAATAAAACTTACAACGACGCCGTAATGAAGCCACTTTTTCTTGCCATTAAGATGAACATTACCAGACATAACAACATTTCCTGATAATCTACCTGCAAATATAATGCATGTAATTAATTAATATTTGACTAATTTAATATTTAATTATAATTCTACAAATTCAATTTTTTTTATAACTTTTAACTCGTTATAATCGTAAAAAAAATGTAACATACTAAACAAAAGTAATAAAAGTTGAAAATAATAGTATTTTCACTATTTCGTAATTCCGAAAACATCGAGTATTTAACCTGCAATATTTGCCGAACCGACCCCCATCGATCACTCGACAAATACATAAGTGATGTTGGGGGGAAATTGAATGCGATGGATGCCTAATAAGTAAATTGTGATTTATATGGTCAACAAATATTTTCTATAGTCAAAATACAATAATGAAATAATTTTAATTTCTTGTGTACTTTCGGGCAGCTTTTTAAACAGACAACATTTATTATATGTACTATAGTCTATATAATCTTGTTCATTGAGAATATAATGGTCCAACACGAAGGAAATTATGATGTACCTTTATTTTTAAGGTACAATATTAGTTATGACATCCCCATCCAGAAAAAAGACAATTTAATTATATGAATACATAATTTAAGCTATTAATTAATTAATTATTTGGTAATTCTTGTTAATTAAAAATTATTTAGTTAAGTTTTAAAATAATGCTAACTCTCAGAAATCAGAATTCTTTTGGGAAAATGAAATAAAACCTGTGCCCTGAAGATTTATGCATGCAAAAACCTTCAAGCAAACTCCCCCATGCACAAAAGTATACATAGAGAGAGAGAGAGAGAGAGAGAGAGAGAGAGAGAGAGAGAGAGAGAGAGAGAGAGAGAGAGAGAGAGAGAGAGAGAGAGAGAGAGAGAGAGAGAGAGAGAGAGAGAGAGAGAGAGAGAGAGAGAGAGAGAGAGAGAGAGAGAGGGAGGACCTGCCAAAGAATCAAGGAAAGTGGATTTGCCAGAGCCAGAAGGACCCATAACAGCCATGATCCGACCCGGTAGAGCATAACCGGTCAGCCCATTTACCAACCTTCTAGTATGCCCATTCCCGTTATTCGGCAGCACCGCCGTCAACTCCTCCCACGCCAAACACGCGCCTCCACCACCCTCCCCCACCCATCCGCCGCCGCCGCCCCCATTCTCAATATCGCCGCCCCCACCAACCTCATGAGAAGCTGCTGCTATCTCTATCTCCATATATATATAAATACTCTATATGTACCTCACCAATGTATGTGTGTATATATATATATATATATATATATATATCTTGTAGAGGAGGAATATTATATATATATATATATATATATATATATATAGATATAAAATAAAATAAATAAAACCCGGAGAGTGAGACGAGACGAGACGACCCCTATTTATACATAAAGAAGAAGGAGTATTAATTAATTAATTATGAAGGAGAAGAGAAGAGAGATAAAGTTAACAAATTTGCAGAGAGAGAGAGAGAGATAACTGTTGTAATCAGATACCCTTCAATGCTGCCATGAATGGCGTTGCAGTGTGGGGGTTGAGTGTGGGGGTTGAGGGCTATTACCGTCTTTTATACTACCATCCATTACTAAGGTGGTGTTTGCAAATGCTTTTTGAAAGTGATTATGCGGTTTTTTTTGCTCATAATCTGTTTTGAGGTGTTTGCAAAATCAACTTTTGCGTTTGCTTCTCTTAAAATAATCTGCTTTAAGCTATTTTTTTAAAAGCACCCCTAACCCTGCTTTTTCAATTTTAGTTCATTTTCCGAAATATTTGCAAACACCCCCAACTTTTAGAAATAAGCACTTAAAACTAACTTAAATCACAATCACTAACTTCTGCTTTTAAATAATCATTTGCAAACACCACCTAAGAGCAACTCCAACCCACAAATATCAAAATGAATTATCAAATATTTATTTAATATTTTATCTTTTAGTTTGATACCTAATTAAATTTATTTGCTCCAACCATAGATATCAAATAGTTGATAATTAAAAATAAATAATGTGATTTTATATTTTAATTAACACGTGTCATTTTCTAATTGGCTATTTAGGTGGTTAAGTTGTGTAATTTCTAATTGACATTATTTCTTCCGGATGTATTTTTACATCCCAAAAATTAAAATATCAAAATACAAACCCATTTGATAACTCCATTTGAGTGGAAAATTTCTAATTTGAATTATCAATATGGTAGTTAATGATTTTGATAACCCGTTTAATAACTCCATTGGAGTTGCTCTAACAATGTCAAATTTTCACACACAACTATTTTTTTTTTAATGTACTTTATTTTAAACAATAACATAAATTTATTATTTTATTTAAAATATTATAAATTGAAATATTGAACTGAAAACTCTAATAAATAAATTCGAATTAGACCAAATATATATGTGAAATGGCAAATATAGTTAGGCATGAAATATCTATGGTTAACTAATTATCCACATGTATTACATGTGATTAGAGTAGTCATGATTTCTTAAATTCTTTACTCATCTTATCTTATATATAAAAGAAAGAAACGATGGGCAACCATAAAATCTCTAACGCTATTTTTGTAAATATTTATTTTTAATATTTTTTCTCTCATTTCTAACTATAATTTTCAACAATTATTAAAATTGAAAATAAATTGTAAATAATCCTATCCTGATGGTACATCTGTGATTATTTTTTTTTAATATTTTTTTTGTACTAATTTTTTAACTATAATTTTCAGCGATTATTAATCTCCTATTTTTCATCAATATATCTCAAATCTTAAGAGATAAAGATAGAAATTCGATTTGTTAAATCTTAATATGTAACATTTATAATAATACATTATTAATTTTTTCTATGTTAGTGTACTATATTTTCTCATTATATATTAAGGCCCCGTTTGGTTGCCAAGATAAGTCATGATTAACTAAATAATTGGACTTAATTTGATGCTTGGTATCCTCAATAAATTACCGGGTCGACCCACCAAAATTATATAATCATGGCTTATCTTGCCGTGCATCGCACGGAGAAAAAAATGCTAGTTTATTATAAATAAATAAAAATTTATTTACTCATTAATGAACCATATGCAGCTTTCTATCATGAGTTTGTTTGCCCATCATTCAGGGGTATATTGGTAAAAATAAAACTTTGTCAACTACTATTTTTAATTAATGTGGGTTACGGTTAGGCACCATTCAATGACAAAAAAACATACAAAATAAATATTTGGTGTTTTAATTAAATTAATATAAGAAATCAAATCATACTTTAGTAAAAAAATATGATCATATCATGAGTTCATTATTTAATGTGTTTGAGGGTATCTCTAAAAAAATATGTAATATAAAACTAATTAATATAAGTTAAAATAATTATATATATGCATAAATTCAAAAATATTATATGTCATGTTATGATGCATTATGAATTTGTGAACAACTTTGTTGAGTATTACATAAGAAAAAATTGGCCCAACAACCATGCCTCGCCAATTTTGTATATAAAATGATCACATATATTATATATATTATTATTATTTTTCTATTTTACTATTGGTCGCAATAAAAAAATAAAAAAATGTGACTAGTACGAAATATGAATATGTTTCAATGAGTACATAATGTGGTAGCTCGGCCTAACACACTTGCCTCATTAATAATGATTTAAATTACATACTAATAATAATAATAATAATAATAATAATAATAATAATAATAATAATACATCATATTTATATAGACAGTGTGTGTGACATCTCTAAGCGGCACCCCAATGTTTATTACTAAAACGGCAACAAATTTAATATCTAATCTATGAATTTTATTTAATCGTTTTCCAATTTTTATTTATCCAATCTATGAAACTAGAAATTGTAATTCCGATTCTATCACTTTGGTGGGAATTACAGCCTGTTTGGATTGTCAGTATTAGGCCCACGTTTCGGAAACCGAAAAATGCCATTACACCTGTCGTAAACGTTTCAGGACCTTTTCCGTAAATATTTAAAAGTTTTGGGGACGCTATTACAATATTATTATTACATTCTATAAAAGAAAGAAGGTTTAAAAATAATTATGTTTTGGTTAAGGAATTGGAGAGGTAAGACCTTCCTGCGAAGAGAGCGAGCGGAGATTATGGTGCCTCTTGGAAGGGCGAGACGGTAATTTCTGCAACGAAGGCTGCATTTTGAGGCGATGCAGGGTTCTCGTTGCGTAGAGTGAATGGAAATACGGGGTGGCTCTCTCCTTCAACTTGAGAATAAGGAAGAACACGATTCTGTAGACAATGACGAGTACGTAGAGTGCGAATAAATCCCACCACTTCGAATGATCTAACGACACCCCGAACAAGTGTGTTAAGACATATTCGCCCGTTACTTTTGTTTGACCGCTCATTGGGTCGGAGTCGAACACCAGCCCAAGCATGTCGTTCTTGTATCCTCCCTGCATTATTTCCAGTTCGTGTTCGCATTCATTTGCTTTTAAAAAAAAGTAAAAAAAAAAAAAAAAAAAAAATATATGTATATGTATATATATAGATATACCTGTAATGACCATGAACCATATCCAATGAAGGAAACGGGATAGCGCCAAAAAGCCTTGGGAAGATCTGGAAGCAACCGGAAGAAACCGGCAGTCATCATCATAATACCCTAAATTTAAAGAATATTATGAGAAGGAAAACAAAAAACAAAAAATGAAAAACGAAAAAGGGAAATTTGAAGTTGAATATAAGTAGTTATGAATTACTTACAAGAACACCAGCACCAGCTATGATTCCCATCAAGAAATTAGGAACTAACGAAGCTACGATCATCATAACACTCTCCACCATAGCAATGCATCCGAATATATTAAGGCAAAAGAACACGTAATGCGAAAACTCAGTCCGGAATTTCACCATGTAATAAGTTATAGTCCCGGTAATAACCGATATTGCCACCAAGAACGGGAATGAAGACACGAAGTTCGATAATATAAACACAGCCACCCCATAATAACCATTTAGCCTTTCCTTATAAAACACCTGTTTAGTTTGACACCCCAAAAAAAAAAACACGTCAAAATTAAAGGATGGAATATTATTTTCGAAGTAAAAAATGTTTACCTTCATTTCCTCGATAAAGGATGGGAATCCACCAATGGACATAAAAGTCATAAATCCCGTCACAAAGCCACCACAAGCTCCCCGAGCCAAAATCGCGGTATAACTCGTTCCAACATCGTAGAATAGAGATCCAACACATAAAGCAACAAGGGTGTATATGACTATTCGGGACCAATAATATCCAATATCTCTAGACATATTCAAGAATGATCGTTGCGTCAGTGTTGTAAGCTGCTTCCACCAACTAGCTTGGCTTCCTTTTATCGACTTAATATTCAGTTCTTGCTGAAATTCACGAGCTTATTAGTTTGTTTGTTTTCTTTTAATAAATATTGTCGAAAAAAAAAATACTTTGCAAGAACTAATTGTGGACTACTTACAACAACGGAGATCTCTCGCTTCCTCAATCTTGCGTTCTTTGCATACTCTGACTGCTTATATTTTTCAATGAGAGCTGATTTGATATCTGCCGTCGCCAAATTCAGCAAAGGGTCTGATGTTTTCTCTGTTTCCTGTTTTAAAAGGTACCACAAGACTCTATCTTAAGATTAAATTTTGAAATGAATATTAGTTTTAAGATGCCGCCATACCCCCAAATTTGCTTACACGAGCCCATATTACTTCTCTAAAATCGGGTAATGTTACAAATTAATGCCCGATTGGCTATTAGAGATATGAAAGTGCTCTTTCATCTTTCGAGAGTAGCAAATAATCGAGAGGTTTCTTGGAGGCAATAACATTTCATTACAATGTAACTAATAAGATCATCATGCATTGATGTGAGCCAATCAGATAATATTTACGCTAGAGAACGCAAAAAGAAACGGAGAAAATAAAAAGGATGTTATTGGATTCATACACGGAGTCTTTGTGAGCCTCTTAATGTAGCAGTGACAAGATCGAAGTCCGAGTTAATGCAACGCAAGAAATGATCCGAAGGATTCCTTCTATTCGGACAGGGGAACCCTGCTTCCGCAAAAAACTGAAAAAATCAACACGGAAAAGCATTAGAATTCTTTCATTTTTTTTATTTTTTTTAGTGATAAAGATTTCGAATAAAACCTTTATAGCCATCTTAGCTTCACCAAAGTAAACAATTTCTCCGCCCGATAGTAAATAAAGATCGTCAAACAGAGCAAACACTTCGCCACTAGGCTGATGAACCGAAGAGATGACGGTTCTTCCATCCCGAGCAAGATTCTTGATGGATTGGATCACGAAAAAGGCGGCTGCACTATCAAGGCCGCTAGTGGGTTCGTCAAGAAACAACAAACGGGGCCGTATTAGAATCTCGAGGGCAATGCTCAGTCTTTTCTTTTCTCCGCCACTTATCCCTCTCAACTGCCAATTCCCGACCTGTCGATCGGAGCATTCTTGAAGCCCCATTTCGGAGATAGTTCCTTCTACAATGGCTTTGATTTCTTCTTTAGATGTGGAATTCGGGAGCCTCAAATGGGCAGAGTAAGTTAGAGTTTCTCTTACTGTGAGAGTTCCCAAGAGTACGTCCTCTTGTGTGACATAAGCCTGAGTCAGTCAATACGTCGAACATGTAATGGGCATGTACAGATTGAAAAACATTTTTTTTAACTAATATAATTCTATGAGGTACTTACAACCACGCCGTAGTCTAGCCGCCGCTTCTTCCCGTTGAGAAGAACATTTCCGGTCATGACAACATTTGTCGATAATCTACCTGTGATGAATGCAAATACAGTTAGGCAAAAATGGCAGAAAATAAAAAAACTAGAAATCATCCATGCATAAAGATTGAATTTCATTTTCTAGAGAGAGAGAGAGAGGACCGGCTAAGGCATCAAGAAGGGTGGTCTTGCCAGACCCGGAAGGGCCCATAATCGCCATGATCCGACCCGGTTCAGCATACCCGTTAAGCCCATGAAGCAGCTTCCTGGTCGGGCCGCCATGCCCGAAATTCGGGAGCACCACCGTCAAATCCTCCCAAACCAAGTACACCTCACCACCGCTCCGCCGCGGCAGCGCCGCCGTCTCTATATCTCCGCCGCCACTAGCATCTACTAAACCACCACCCGCCACCTCTATTTCCATTTTTTTGTTCAAAGCTGGCTGGCTAGCTGGTGGCTCACAGAATTAATAAGAAGTAAATGCAGGCCCAGTTTTGCAATTTATTGATTCTTTATAGCACGTAACAACAATCTCTGTAGGGTTGGATTAAACTCATACAATTTGGTCGGATCAGAGACAAATTGTTTTCACTATTGCAACAGAAAATGTATGAGAGCATAAGAATACAGTTTTTATGTGCAGAAATGAAAGTGATAGGTAAACAATAAGATCGGTGAGAGAGACACTCTAGAGAGAGAGAGGAGAGAGAGAGAGAGAGAGAGAGAGATTTTAATGCATGGGGTCCAAAACAAAATGGTTTGCAGGTGCATTTAATTGATTATGGTGCATTTATATATTATGGTTTTATTCGGACCAAAATATATATTTCAAATCTTCTCTACTTAAAAGAGTCGTGTAAGTATTTCTTTATTCCATTTTTTTTTACTATTATTATTTTTTATTTTTTATTTTTTATTTTAGCTCGTACGTGATTAATTGCCTATTAACGTTTACGTGTTTCGTGTGGTTTGATGACTACTGTATTATTCGCATTTCGTGTTCATAGCTGTGCAGAGTGCACCTATATATATATTTATGATCAATAAGTAAGTGAAGATTAGGGGCGTAATATCTATAAATAAACAATTAATGGCAAACATAAATAATTATTACTATCATTAACTTATCTGTCCATTCAAGGAAAGGGATTGAAGTTTAATGTTTTAATTAAAGTTTTGGAAAAATTTACCTTAATTCCTCATTTAGTCCCTTATTTTCACAAAAAAATAGATTTAGTTTCTCATATTTCAATAATTTAACATTTTTCGTCATTTTCGTTAATTTTCTGTTAATACTAACAAAATCAAACATAGTTTCATCACTCTCTTAACGTACGGACTAACGGTAAATTTACGGAAATAATCAAAAATGTCAAATTGTTGAAACATAAATGACCGAATGTGTATTTTGTAAACATTGAGCACCAAATGTAAACATGTACAAACTTGAGGGACCAAAACTGTTATTTGTAAGAAACAGGCCCAATTAACAATTATATAAAATAAAATCTCATTTAGACCCAATTTACTTTAGCAAAACAAAAGCCCAATAAATGGCCCATTTTTCTTCATCTTCTTCACCTACTACTCACCCGTGAGTTGCAGAAACTGCGGCCACCAAAACTGCAACCTCAGAAATCCTCTCCGATCGATACTTCAACCACTACTTTCCTCTCTCCTCCTATTTTAATGGGTACCCAATGGCTTTTCATTTAAGAAATTCAAAAAAATCGCCGCTCTCCGCATCCACACAGGTCCACAACTTCCTCGCCGGAGATGGCGGCCGACCGTCACTCGTCGCCGCCGGGTTACACTCTCCCTTCCACGGACAAGACACGCCGTTACGAGGACGAGGAGTTCAAGGAGAGCAAATTGACGGTAGCTCTCTGCCCGTGTATTTTCTGCTTAATTCTTTTACTCGTAGTAGCATCAATCGTACTCGTTGTCAAATTCCGTTTGTACTGCCATACCCCTCTTCACTCTCTCCTCTTCAAAAATGCCTGCCGTCGGTAATCCCACACCAAAATCCCCCACTTTGCTTGAATAAAATTAGGCCCTTTTGTAGCGATGTCAATTCGGTGCACACCGATTCCGAATTCGATAGCGACATTGAAAATGAATCAGCTTCTGTTGATAGTGCCGAATTTGAGGCCGATTCGAAGGAGGTGGAAAGAGTATGCAAGGTGATCGACGAAATGTTTGCTCTAGATAGGAACATGGAGGCCGTTTTAGACGAATGTGGGATCAATCTGAATCATAAATTGGTGTTGTGTGTGCTGCAGAGATTCAATCATGCTCGAAAACCCGCATTTCGGTTCTTCCGTTGGGCTGGAGATAGGCCTGGATTCTCTCACAATTCGACCACTTACAATGCAATGATGAACATTCTTGGAAAGACCAGACAATTCGAGACATTGGTTTCTCTCCTCGAAGAAATGGGAGAGAAGGGTTTGCTCACGATGGAGACCTTCACCATCTGCATCAAAGTCTTCGCCGCTGCAAAGGAGAGGAAAAAGGCAGTTGCCATTGTCGATTTGATGAAGAAATATAATTTCAAAGTCGGAATAGAGACCGTTAATTGTTTGCTCGATGCATTGGGTAGGGCCAAGCTCGCAAAAGAAGCTCAAACGTTGTTCGAGAAATTGGAGCCCAAATTCGCCCCGAATCTAAAAACGTACACAATCTTGATCAACGGTTGGTGCACGGTAAAGAATTTAATGGAAGCCGCTAGAATGTGGAATGAAATGATCGATAAAGGGTTTAAACCCGATATCGTAGCCCACAATATAATGCTCGAAGGGCTTTTGAGGAGCCATAAAAGATCCGATGCAATCAAGTTGTTCGAGGTAATGAAGTGTAAGGGCCCACTTCCTACTGTTAGGAGTTATTCTGTATTAATCAAGAATCTATGCAAACACGGCCACTTAAAAGAAGCTATAGACTATTTTGACGAGATGGTCGATTCTGGATGTGGGCCCGATGCTGCGGTGTACACATGTTTAATGACGGGTTTTGCGAATCAAAAGAAGATGGATGTAGTTTATCGGTTATTAAGCGAGATGAAGGAGAAAAATTGCCAGCCCGATGGCCGATTGTACAATGCATTGATCAAGATGATGGTGAACAGAAGAATGCCCGACGAAGCGGTGAAGATATACAAGAAGATGGTGCAGAGTGGAGTCGAGGCTTCGGTCCACACTTACAACATGATCATGAAATCGTACTTTGTCGCAAGAGATTGCGAAATGGGGCTTGCGGTTTGGGAGGAGATGAAGAGGAGAGGGTTTTGTCCGGACGAGAACTCGTACACGGTTCTCGTGGGAGGGCTTGTAAGGCAGGGGAGATTGAATGAGAGTTGTAGGTATTTGGAAGAGATGATTGATAAGGGGATGCGGGCCCCACGGATCGATTATAAGAAGTTTTCGGCGGGTTTTTATTGGAGTGGTGGAAGGAATTGTTTGGAGGATTTGGCTGAGAAGATGAAATTGTCTGGTAATTCTGAGGTGGCTAATTTGTTGGAGAGATGGGTTAAATGATTGTGATGATGATGATGATGATGAAGAAGAGTAGTTTATTACTTATTAGTGATGAGATTAATTTGTAATTGTATGATTAGTTATGTTACTTATTGGTGGAGAGGATAGTGAAATTTTGTTGTAAATGTTTGTGGCATTGTCATTTTATATAAACTTTTGTTATCAAGAACTGAAATGTTAAATGTTCGTTTCGGTTTTGCTAATACTAATTTCATTTCGAGTGTCGTTTTGATTATTTTCTAGTTTGAGTTTGGTAAAATTCAAAAAACGAAAATTGTAGTTTTTTGAGTTTTCTGATTCAATTTGAATCGGCTGAATTGGATGTTGGGTGACAAAGTTATGCATAAATGAGTTACATTTTAAAAATCAAAGTTGTGGGCAGTGTTTCACTGACTCATGGATATATTTCTCATAGGACATTCAATTTTATAAATTCGGGTTAGAAAGCTAACTCAAAGAACTACTATTTTTCTCTTTTGAGTTTTGCCAAATTCAACCCCAAAAATAGTCAAAATTACGTTTGAAGTCGAAACGATATGCACGAGTTTATCGGATTTACCCATGGATGCGGATAAATAATGTTTTTACTAATTAGTTGTTGCAATAATATACATTTGTTATTTGTATTTTCCGTTTTGAGTTTTGCCAAATTCAACCTCGAAAATAGTGAAAATCATGTTTGAAGTCGAAACGATAGGCACGAGTTTACCGGATTTACCCATGGACGCGGATAAAGAATGTACATATTATTTTTACTAATTAGTGGTTGCAATAATATACATTTGTTATTTTGTATTTTATGTATGTCATTAAAGTATTTTTTTGTTAAATATTTAGAAAATAATAAAATATAATAATTATGTAAAATAATATATCTTTGGTAGAGAAGGGTTAGAAATAAATACAGTTTTAATCTCTAGTGAAGTAAAAGCAAAAAGAGAGTAAAAGGAAAAAATAAAAAAACAAACAAGTTGTTCATTACGTTTATCCTCGTCACTTCATATCCTTACTTATCTTCGGTTTTATAAATGCTACATCTGATTTACATCGGAACAAACATTTTCTTTTAAATAAAAAATGTGTATAATTAAATATTATACTAGACGAATACTGACCGAGTGTAGCATAGAATAAACTTCAAGAGAAGATTTTTACTATGTAATATTATTATTTATATTATTCACCAAAATTCAAATACAATTGGTATAACAATTGTCACTTTAAATATTTCCAGAAATTTCAAATTCCACAACACATCACAAGAAAATTTCCAGAAATTTCAAATTCCACCACACATCACAAGAAAAAGGAACATCTAAAATCCAGCTTAAAAGTTGCTGATGATAGTAATACAGTATGTTTGGAATTTTAAATCCTATAAAATATAGTAAATTACAACTACTCTTGAGGTAAAATCTATTTACGAAAAACCCCCTCATTTTTTCATAACTACATCTATTCCTGTAATTGTAAATTTCTTACATTGATACCCTTATTAGGGGGTGAATGTAAGAAATTTACAAACTTAGGAGGCTGGATGTAATTTCTCAAAAGGAAGAGTTTTTAAATTTACCTCAGGAAGGAAGTTGTAATTTTACTCTATAAAATATTACACAATCTAAATGTATACCTGAAATAAAAAGAAAATAAAAATATTAAATATAAATAAATAAAATCAGAAAAAACAATCAAGTTGATTTAGCTTTAGGAGAAACAGATGCACCGGAAACTGAACAAAACCCAAATCTCCGGCGATCGGCGTCCATCTTCTTTCATTAAAAACTATATATGCTCCACATTTCTTACCTTCAAGAGAAGATTTTTACTATGTAATATTCTTGATGGCATTAATTACAAATAATGAAAAAATTAAGGTAAATTCCCATATTAATTAATTTTTAGACAAATAAAATCCCAAACCTACATTGTTTTCCTAAAGAAAAAGATCCCACGTAAAAGTCTTGTAAATCTTTATCTACACAAATAATATCGTAGGAAAATCAAAAGCCCCATTCGAAAAGATGTTTATGTATTAAAACTGCAGATAATATAAATATATATTAAATAAATAAAATTTAAATACTTTCTATCTCCCTCCATCTCTTCCCCCTTCACTGCTCAATCTTTAACATTACACACATAGTGAAGAACAGTAAGCATTATCATATTTTGGATTCTATTAATTTATTTTATTTTTTTGTTGAGAAAGAAAGAAAGAAAGAAGAATCTTATACTTACATGCAGTCATGAATGAATGATGTTTGACAGCAATTTGATTTAACCCTCCATTTTTAGCATCTTGATTTATTTATTTAATCCCATAAGAATTATTGAATTTTGGGATATTATTATTATTATTTTATTTTTTTTCAGATGAAACAAAGCTCGTGTATCGTGTTGCGTCCGGTTTGTTTTCTCATGGTGCTGGTATGTGTTTAATTCAATTTTGTTTGTTTTTAAAGAAAGTGTAAATCTTTAACTTTAATCAGTTCAAAATTTTATATGAATTGCTAATTTTGCTTGCTGCAGGTACTTATGGTGTTGTCTCTATCTGGTTTATTGATCCCATTATGGATCATTAGGGTTACTAAAATCGAAAACGAAGTAAAAGTTACCGCCAAAAAAACGAATCAAGAATTAATTTCCGGAATTCGAAAAACCGCCACGTTGTTTTCTCCTATTAATGCATCAGCCATCAACTTAGTTCGAGTATTAACCTCGTCTCTCGACGAGCACGATTTCCAATTTTCCAAAATTGAATCGAAGGTAAGTAAGTGGCGCGAATTCGACTTCGAGAACTTAATTAATTTTTCGGGATATTTTTTTTTATTGGTCATTAAATGCAGGTTGCTTCGACGCTATTTCAAGCGTTATCCACAGTACCGTATCTATCGCAGATTTCTTACATTGGATTAGACGGCCTATTCTTCGCTTACTACACTCAAGAAAATCAAATTTACGCAATGTACTCAAATTCGACATTTTCCGATGCGAAGAACTACTCTTGGTACATCCAATCGGTGAATCGTGACAGTGGAAAACTATACGGTGAAGCAATTAAGTCACCTCCGTTTGATGTAGTAAACTCGACCTATTTTCAAGAAGCGTCGAGTAATAAAAACGGATACGCCTCGGTCGGTACTTCATGGGGAGATACACAGAATATTCTTCTACTTAGTACCGTAAGTATGTACGGAAAAGGGGTCGTTTCTTTAGGATATCCAATGCAATCACTAATCGATTTCTTGATTAATGAGATAAGATTTTACGATGGGAGCTTTTATTTGGCTTCTAAAAGAGATGGGAGTGTTCTAGCTCAAGGGATTCCAAACACTCGTATGATCTTAGCTGGCGATCGAGTGGCGTTTCAGTTATTAAGCGAAGATGATTACCGAGTTAGTGAAGTCGGAAATCTCACGTGCCAATCATATGATGACAGCACATCAAGAAACTATGTGTTGAGCTTTTGGAATAGAGAGTATGTGATTAATTGTTCGCCACTCGACATCGCCGGACTCCCTTTGGTAAGTTTCGTTTCGTTTCATTTCGAATGAAAAAAAAAAGATTCTTGATTTATTTTTTCCATATTTATATTTTTTTTCGATTTTTCTTTTAAGGTATATGCATTGGCTATGCCACACGAGGGACTTTCGAGCTTAGTACACAAGAACATAAAATTGGCATTCGTTATGTTAATGCTAATGATAGGCGTTGTGGTTATTACGATATTGACGTTCGTGTATCTAATTGTCGAAGCTGCGAGAAGAGAGATGCATCTATGTGGGGCCCTCATAAGCCAAATGGAAGCAACTCAACAATCGGAGCGAAAGAGCATGAACAAGAGCTTAGCTTTCGCAAGTGCAAGCCATGACATACGTGCTTCTTTAGCAGGGATAAACGGTCTGATAGAAATATGCCGGAACGAGGTTTCGAAGCGGGACCCACTTAGATCGGAAATACCTGCGAATCTACTGCAAATGGAATCTTGCACGAGGGATCTTTTGGGAATCTTGAACTCGATTCTCGATACGAGTAAGATAGAGGCAGGGAAAATGCAGCTCGATGAGGAAGAGTTCGACTTGGAGAAACTAATGGAAAATGTGGTTGATTTGTACCACCCTGTGGGTACGAAGAAGGGCGTGGACGTAATTTTGGACCCGTTCGACGGCTCGGTCACGAAGTTTTCTCGTGTGAGAGGTGATAGAGGGAAGCTGAAACAGATTTTGAGCAACTTGTTGAGCAATGCTGTGAAGTTTACGTCGAACGGGCATGTAGTGGTTCGAGTTTGGGCTAAAAAACCGAGTCTTGAAAGTGGGATTATTGCTTCGAACAGAAGCAACTCGATGAGCTGTCTTTTGTGCTTGTTCAAGATCCAAAGAGCGTATAGTGAATCGGAAGCTACTCAAAGGGAAACAAATAACCGCATGGAGTTTGTTTTTGAGGTGAACGATACGGGAAAAGGGATTCCGAAAGAGAAGCAAAAATCGGTTTTTGAAAACTACGTACAAGTCAAAGAAACTGCACTCGGTCAAGAAGGCACCGGTTTGGGGCTAGGCATTGTTCAATCTCTGGTAAAACAAACTGTAATAACTGTTTTTTTTTTTTTTTTTGGTACTTTTTCTTGATTGATGATGGTGATGTGTAGGTTCGTTTAATGGGCGGGGAGATAGGAATAGTGGATAAAGAAGCTGGCGAAAGAGGGACTTGCTTCCGGTTCAACGCGTTTTTCGAAACGGATAGTAATTCTTCTCCGAGTGCTGATATCGAGTCTATTGATCACGACTCGTTTCGCCACTCGGGTACTGGTTTACGTACCCACAGCCCGAAAAACGAAGGCTCACAAGTCCTGCTCTTGATTGATAGTCCCGAAAGAAGCACTCTCTTGCAAGGTTTCATGCACAGAATCGGGATTAAAGTACACGTTGTGAAGCAGTACGAACAACTCTCTCCGTCTTTGAAGAGGATCAAGCTGAAGCTGAATTTATCCAACTATAGCTCTTCGGGAAAATCCACTACTTCAAGTGCACGTTCGAAAAAAGAGTTCCCCTTGAGTGCTCTAGAAGGAACGGATGACGTTTTAACTCATCCTCGGGCCGGGTTTTCGGGCTTTGTTTTGATTGTGATCGACACGAGTGTGGGCCCGTTCAGGGAGATAAGTAGGGCTGTGGCTGAATTCAGAAGGGACTTGAGTGAAAACTGTTGCAGTAGAGTTGTTTGGCTTGATAGTTTACAGGGGCTTGATGAGGATAATCTGCCACCGTTGGATTTAGTCATTTCGAAGCCGCTTCACGGGTCCCGTTTGTATCGGACTATTGGGCTTTTACCTGAATTTGGGGGGCTGCCGCCCCCAAGAAGGGGAGAAGCTTCACACAGTGTTGAAAAAGTTGGACGTGGAAATGATGTTGCTAGTTCGGATGGGGGGCCAAGTAAGAATTCTGTGAAGGGATCAAAGTGTGAGATTGAGGAAGTTGGAGGGGCGAACAGCAAAAAGAAACCGCTGACGGGGAGGAAAATACTCGTGGCGGACGATGATCCGATCGGTCGAAAGATTGCTACTTTTGTGGGTGTGCAGCTTGGTGCAAGTATATTTCCCTGTGAAAACGGAGAAGAAGCTTGGAAACTAGTCTGCAAGAGTCTAGACGAAGGGAAGCATATTGGAGCTTCGAAGAGTTCACTCCCTTTCGATTGTATACTAATGGACTGTGAGGTAAAATAAAACGACCCGATCTTTTTTTTTCAATCTTAATTTATTCGACAGTTTATTGTATATTTCGATGTGTGCATTATTTGGCAGATGCCGGTGATGAATGGAGTCGAAGCAACGGCAAGAATCAGAAAAGCAGAGGAAAGTTACGGCGTTCGTATACCGATCATCGCACTAACTGCACACAAGAAGGGGCAAGAGATCGATAATATGATTCAGGCTGGAGTCGACGGTTACTTGACCAAACCACTCAACAAGGATGTTTTCTTGAAAACTATTTCTGAAATTATTTGCAATGTATGACATTTTGTAAACATGTTTTCTTTTGTACTCTTATCCAATAGAAGCTTTTCTTTTGTTTTATAACATGACATGAGAAAATCCTTCATAAATATTGGTTTATATAAGAAACAAGCTCTGCTCAATCCATACCAGTAAGTATACAACTGGGGCTTTTAACCGAGCCTAAGACGTTTGTTAAAAACATCTAAACAAATCATTTGTCTTAAGTTGTCACATTCGACATTCTAACAGTGATAATGTTAAACTTAGTCTTAAGCATCGATGAAACGGATGTCGAACGTATTTGGATGGATCTGCCACACGTTTAAGGCTGCATATTCCTCCAAGCACTCTTTCAGCTGGGCTTCACTGTATCCCTGTTCACAACAAGATTCGCTCGATTATTAGATATCCAGCCAATTAAAGCAATACATCGATCACCATATTATTAGCAAACTCGAACAACTTTTTCAAAGTTGATTTAAACATAATTTATTCGTCGTTTTGTACCTTTCTTGAAATCCAGTTCAGGGCATGGGCATAGCTGACATCCACCTTGTTGGATCTTGCAGCTTCGTCACGTAGGATTGAATAAATATCAGAAATTGCGTCGAGACCAGACTTATGACGGTCGTCAGAGTACAGTGAGAACTTGGACATTTGCATTAACCTAAGTGACTCGTCCACGTCACTCTGAGCAACGTGGTGGGAGAATCTGAGTCTTGCCAAAGCCTGAAAAAGATGGTGTAAAATACGTAATCAATTGCTTCTTCATCAAAGAAGAAGAATAGTCAATAGGATATTAATTAATATAAGCACTTACAGCCGATATCCTAAGAATGCTAAGTAGAGTTCTGACTGTTGTGTAAGAGTGAGGGGCATTTGATTTCGCCTCTTCCTGCCGTATACTAGAATACGCACTTGCAATATATTCCTCCAGCTCCCTTGGAACAACAGGAGACAGTTTTCTTGCAGCAGAAATATACGCCCTAGAATTCATGACAACAGTTTATCCGATCATGCAAAATCATTCACCAAGTTATTCAGAAAGTAAAATCTTTGAGGTAAGATTTTACCTAAGAACAGAAGGTTCAAGTGGAGTAAACCCGAGGTCTGGAGATTCCTTCATCTGGTGGACATGGAGCACATGGCGAGCCATTTCAAGATCAGTATCCATATCTGCTCGGTCGAGAATCAACCACAGGAGATCAAACCTTGAGAGAAGAGCAGGTGGCAGATTAATATTCTCAGCCGGTGTTCTCCTTAGATCATATCTCCCCCTTGATTTATATTAAAAAAAAAAATTAGAAGTCATCAAACTTGGCATTAGGAAGAACTGAACAGGTAAATTGCAATAAAATGAATGTGTTTGTATTTCAAAACAAAAACCGAGAGTTTGTGAATTTTGTACCAGGCTGGATTAGCGGCGGCAAGTATAGCAGTCCGTGCATTCAAAGAAGTGGTGATGCCAGCTTTAGCAATGCTAACAGTTTGCTGCTCCATTACTTCATGTATTGACGTGCGATCTGATTCGTCCATTTTGTCAAACTCATCGATTGCACATATGCCCATATCCGCCAGTACCTGATACAACCGATTGGACAGTGATGCTTATAAGTTCACCTTTAATGAAAGAAAGGGAAAAATTGGAGGGACTCGTGCAAGCACTCTTACTAGAGCTCCTCCTTCCAAGACCATCTCGTTTGTCACCGGATCCTTTTGAACAGCTGCAGTCAGACCAACTCCACTACTTCCTTTCCCAGTCGTATACACACCTCGTGGTGCAACGTTAATTATGTGTTTGAGAAGTTGACTTTTTGCAACTCCTGGATCACCCATCAGACATACGTGTAGGTCTCCTCTAATCTACATTACGACACAAGGGTAGTTATTACCTTAAAAATTGTAAAAACTGGTCAGAATTTTAAAACAAAACAATGGATCCTCTACATGTTAGATTATCATGCTTATATATTATATCCTGGCCCTGAACTCACCTTCATTCCATCCTTTAACTTTCGGTGAGGAGCACCAACTAGGAGGAGAAGAAGGGCCTTCTTCACATCTTCATGCCCAAAAATTTCTGGGGCCAATGAGCGTGACAATTTGTTGTAGATATCACCATCCTCGGCTAAGCGAGCAATTTGCTCTTCCTCGTCGTCTCTAAGTTCATATCTGCACTTAATATAACCAATTAGTTCCGCTGCAAATCTATCCATCCCAACTTAATATGCTTACATCAGATGATAAGCTGGAGAGTATGCCCTATGAATGAGGAAAATAAAAAGTTCACCTACGGAATTCGAGGACGGTTCTCTTAATAACTCACAAGTCGAAAAATGTATGAAAAGAATATAGGAGCTTAATTTACAAAGCATCAAATTATTGTTTCATAAATTTCCTCCCTCAGATAAGGTAAGATGGTATGAAATAGATTCCTGAATGTTTTACATGCCAGCAGACATCATTTAAGAATTTATATATTGTTCCATACAATATTTAATGTACCAAATATTGAAGCAAAACTACGTACTGTTCATATTTCTTCTTGAAATGGGTGACAGACATGGCTTCCAAGTACGTGTCTGCGATTAAGCCAGCTCTCATAGCCCTAAATCCAGTGTATGGCATTGGAAGAAATATCCCCGACACATCAACAATGTCGCCAGGAGACACCTGCAGTAAATGACATTTGGACACTTGATTAAACCTAATATATATATCGAAGTCCAAGTAGCATACAACAGAGCAACTATAAGTACACTAGTTGATAGGCTCTATAAACATGTAAGACGACAGTATAACTAACCTTCCTTGTGAGCTCTCCCCTGAAATGAACAGTCATTGCTCGAGGAATGTGACCTTTGGGAACATGTTCAGCTAGTTCTTGAAGTTTAGCCTGAAAACAATGTTTATGTTACAAAAAATAAGCTCTTGCATTTTATAGAAAATCGTCAAGATAAACCATTGGCATATCACAAACCTCCTGAAACTTCAAAAACTTAGACGCTCTAAGTTGGGCAATGAGGTTCCCTTTAGCATGATTTACTCTACATTGTTCCGATGGGCAATCAAATAGGGGCATATATATCCGAGCAGTTACCTCCTGTATCACATATAGTAGTCGGTAGGTCTATCATTAAGCCCATGAATATTCAACATACTAAGAATAAATAAAAGTTAGGCAGAGAGCAAGTACGGAACCTGATAGATTTCAAATCCACACTCTTCACATGTATAGACAGCAACCTGCATCAGCGGTTTGACGTCTGAGCAACGTGTCACAATGCCAGATATCCTCACAAGCTGCCCGATATTTGAAGCTTTGACCTCCCTAAGTGTGTAAGGCCGCCCTTTTGGAGATGCTTTGATATAAACTTCACTGGTTCCACAAACACCGACATTGTTAGAGACTCTTCACTTTCGTCATTAGATCCCGCAGAAAAATAAAATAAAAAGAGTTTATTTCTCTACTTTCATTTCGGGTTTTTTCCCTATTTCAACAACAAACTTTTGCCATGCCGTTCATGAAACATTGAAAAATACTCGAGATACGACACATTAACAGTGGAAACAATATTATGAAATAAATCGACCCCATTTTTTGTCTATGATTTTCCATCACTTCTTATGCTATAAGCCCGTAATTTGCAGTGTGGTTGTTAACACGACAAAATTGCCCAATCAACAACGCATACTATAAGCATTAATACCTACTAAACAGAGGTGTGGTGCAATTGACAAGATCAGTAAAAAATCAAAGTAACTTAAGTAATAGATACAGGCTGCATTTCATCACGGGTCTTACTATAATCTCTTAATCTCGGGAGGCATCCTCCTCTGCGGATCAGAACCGCCAGCATTTTCAGTTGATTCCTCCGCCCTCTGAGTCATTAAAATATCATTTTCATCATCCAGAAGCACCTCCGTTGGCTCCGGCATTAGCCTATCAATCGCATTAGCAAATATTCCTATGTACCTCCGCGTATTTTCAGTCACTCGCCTCAGAAATTCCTCATCCAAGTCTTTATACTATTTATCCCTCAAACAGAAAGAAAACCCCAAAATCAGATCCTTACCCAAAATAAAGAAAAGATAAAACAGAAATGAGACTTGACGAGATTTACATTGAGCAAGTCTTCGAGCTCGATCTGGATGGCCTTTGTTTTACGATTCGCTACATCTTGCTGGAAGTACAAGGAACACGAGATGAATTAATTTATTTGTTCAATTTTTATTAGGATTTGTACCAAAAGAAAATTAGTTGGGAAAACTTACAAGGATGTCGATGTATTTAGCTTCGCCATTCACATCAGCAAAATTTTCGAGGAAATCTTTCGCGATTTCTGCATCCAGGAAGTTTCAAAATAATGAGTAAATTAGGTACGGGTACAGAATTATACACACAAACATATACATATAACACAGATGGAACGTGTTTTTGTGCACTTGCCTTCGTCTTGTTTGAAATCTAGGTCATTCATGTTTCCGCGGTTTGCTTCTCTGAGAATGCTTCTGCGTATGTGACTCTGTCTCTTTGTGTCTGCGCGCGCGGGAGAGAGAGAGAGAAAAAAGAGAGAGAATCGGAAGAAGGGTTACTCGGTGACGATTGGCGGCAAAATGACGATAAATGGGGTAATGAAGGGTGGTTTTGGCGGGAAAAAGGATAAAGCAACAAAATTGCGATTGAGTCCTCCATATTTTTATTTATATATCACATCGACCCACCGAGTTTCTGAAAATTACAAAAAACGCCATTATGTGTCATCGTCTATATAATTTTTTATTTGATTCATTTTCCCCACTGAAACTTGAAAGAACAATGGTCAATGGCCGATAAAGAATAAATTAAATTTTAATTATAATTAAATTTGAATTTTTTATATCCCAACTTTACTGAATAAGTATCCTAAACTAATCTTAACGAAAATATTAATGCCATAATTAATGTCAACTTTACTGAATATAAGTGTAAATGACAACAAAGAGGGAACAAAGTCGAAGAGGTAACAAACAAAATCGAAAAATGAAAATCTCATAAAAATTTAACAACCATATTTAGTTAACAATTAATTAATTAGCTGATAATCCATCCACGCCATTTCTCTCAACCCTAAATCAAAAGCCACAAACAACAAAGTTTTTCAAGTGCTGCCCTTTTTCATGTGCTGCCCGAATCAAAATCTCCTCCTTGGACTCCTCGAACGAGGACCTCTAGGTGATCTGCAAATATATCAACAAAGCGAAAAAAAATTCAAATCAATATAACAGGAGGAATGAAACAAAGACCGGTTCTTCAATAGAGTACGGCTTGAATTTATGCCTTCATCATATGTTCATACAAGAACAAAAAGTAGACGATGTGAATGTATACCTTCTCCTGATGTTCCTCCTCTTGAATGACCCTTTGCTGAACGCCCAATCAACGGTTATGGTCTGTGTTAGCAGTTCAGTCCCGTCCATCTCACTGATAGTTTTCTGTGCCTCCTCGAAATTCTCAAATTCAATAAGAGCGTAGCCCTGAAAAACAGCACCCCGCACTTAGCTAATAGCAGCAGAAAAGCATATGTGACCAAATATTTGCCCAGTTTGGTCTAGAAAAACATAACTGGATAATGAAACTAAGATGACGGAAAGAAGTTCATGACAACCGTAAAGTTCAAAAAAGAAAAAAGCAAAAGATATCGAATGTTTGATAAAATCGGCAACATATCATCCTACTAACACCTACCACCCCCCCCCCCCCCCCCACCCCCCCAAACCCAAAAAAAAGGACGTAGAACAGAAGTCTCATATGGAATCGATACCCCGTACTAACACCTCATAATACAATTTTACTCGAAAGAATTCTTAGTAGAGTGATAGGGCGAGTTAGAGAAGCTGCTTCCTTTCATTCTGGCCATGAATACATGCAAGCAAGCAAGTTTCAAATCAAAGAGAACATCGCCTTCTATAACTATAAGCAAGATACTGTACCCAAGCAGTGCAAATCTATCGCAATTAAAGCATGCCAAATAAGATTTGAAACTTCATCCAAATCCACCAAAAAACATTGCTAAAATTATGTCTGCACAAGACAAATGCACAAAACATAAAAATGAAGCTTATCCATGACTTAACTGTGAAACACGAACCAAAATGCAACTATTTCCCAGAGCATAAAGAAATCTCAACAGTCAATTGAATAGACCACTAATTATGACACTAACTATATGTGAATTGTTCATTTATCCAATCTAGCTAGTGGCTTTTTAAGGCCCCACTATAATAGTGGACTGGAGTCACTAGACAATCTAAACATTGAGAAATTTCTATACCTTGACAAATCCCGTACGCCGATCCAGATTCAAGTGTAAATTCTTTATCTCGCCAAATTCACCAAATGCATTCTGTAAATCATCCTCTTGTGCTTCTTCATGAACTCCAGTAACTAGAACAATCCATCCTTCAATAGCTGCATAAATTCAATAACAATCAGAACTATCTGCATGACTGTATCAAGTCAATGACAATTTTACTCATAAATACCAGTTCTCGATTTTCCTAATTCTACTTTTCCTTGTTTACAAGAGAAAAAAAGACTTTTAAACAGAACACAATAAGCAAATAAATAAACTGAACTTGAAGAGAGAAGCTAGTTAAGAGGAACAACAAGCCCAACATTGCAAAATACAAAGAAAAAAAAACGAGGCTTAACATCACAAAATCGCCACTCGATTTCTTAAGGCAGACGTTTCACTATTGGCAGCCTTCAATTACCTCTGGGAGAATCTAATCTATGGCAATGCAATTATTGAGAATTTAAGTTCAACAATTGTACGAATCAGAAGCCAAAATTGAAGCACCATAAAAACTGTAAACGGTTCCAGAACGTTCTCAATTGACTTAATATAGTAAAATAAGTAGAGGAAGATAAAAAAAATGACGAAGAAAAGGGTTAGGGTTTCGATACTGACATCGTTCGGGGCCAGGACCACCCTCTGAATCTAGAGAGTCAAAGCGCGCAGACATACGAGCACTCCGGTCAGCCTCAGCCGCCGCCTCGTCGCGGAAGCCGCGGCCTTTGGTCTTCTTCGGAGTCGACGATGAGCCGCCACCGGTGATGGCGGACTTGAGCCGAGGGATGGTTCCGGCTCGGCTGGGGGAGCCATCTCCGACGTCCTCGTCCATTAGATCGTCATCGTCGGGCTCGAAATCAACCGTCTCCACTTCAGCGTGCGCCATTGATGCGTAAATTGGGGAGATTTGGAGTTTTACTTCAGCTTTTAGCCTTCAGGTGAGAAAGGGGGGGCGGGGTGTAATTGAACGAGGGTGTTTTTTGCCTTTGGAATTTATTGTTTGGTAAATTACATTTTGACCTCTAAGATTTATTAATTTGACATATTACACCACAGAATTATTACTTTGGGTGATGCTAGGAGGACAAAAAAGTAATTTACTCTAAGAGCTGTAGGCCCATTAAATACTATTTAATTTACCCAGCTCAAAAGTAATTGGCCACAACTTACTAGGCCCATTGTCTGAATTTACTTGCAAAAGTATTCAATTGAAGCCCAATTTAATAAAATGGTTCTTTCTTTACGCTCTCTTTACAAAGCCCATAAGGATTTTTTTTTCATTTTTTTTTTTGAGATATTTTTCAGTTTATGTTGCCCCGTTGTTGTAAATTAGTCCGTATTGCGATCGCGATATTTTGATAAGTATCATTTTATGTTGTGTATCTGTAGTTTTTTTAGTTATGTTCGATACTTTTCTCTGGTTTATAGAAGTCAATGTTTTTGTGTTTGTTGATGCAGTATGGTCGTTTAAGGTACGTATAGTTGATTATCATTTCATTATGTACAGATGTCTACCCCACCAAACATTTTATTGATGTTTAAATGTTTCGTTGATGTTAAAAAATGTTCGAATACGTTTGGCTTGGGACACATTCGTGGATTTTGCAAGTTCTAAATGTGGACAGTTGATCAAAACTTTTGATTCAAAAGTAACATTATGTTGACGTACTCTCTGAAGACGTATGTATTGGTAGTAATATTGATCCAGTCCGGGATTACTTGATCGATCCAATAAAGACCAAAGACCCAAACTAGATCAAAAGGCACCACTCAAGCCCATTAAGAGAAGACCCATCAGACTGGTACCGGTTGGGCGAGAGGGACCCGGCCGCGGCACGCGAGTAGCTCGCGTGCGAAAGGCTTCTCGCCAGGCTGCACCCCTCTCGCCCAATCTCTCGCCAGACCGCCAATCTCTCGCCAGACCGCCAATCTCTCGCAGACCGCCAATATCTCGCCAGGCTGCACAGCTCTCGCCGGACTACTCGCCCCCGACCAGAGGTGATCATTGCTACACATGGGGCTATTTAATGCACGTCCAATCTACTGACAAAGGGCAGAGGAATGTCTCTTCGACCCCTGCTTTTTGCCTCTGCAGCCGCCAATGAAGTGACGGATTAAACCGCATTGAAGGTAATTTGAGGTCCGGATACTTAATTACCGCGATGGGACAGGTGAATTAAATTGAAGAATATTTGACGTCCGTCCCCTTTTTTCTAGTATAAATAGGGGCAGCAAATGCAGTAAAAAGACACACAATAAAACATACTTGAATTACGCATATAAACTAGTATCTTCTTCAGAAATTTACTGACTTGGCCGTCGGAGTGCTAACTCCGGCCTAAGTCCGGTTCTTTTCTTCCTTTGTAGGTTTGCTGCGGTCCCCCGGTCTAAATCCAGGCCCATTCTACTCTTTAAACCAACCCACCACGAATCCGGAAGGATCAAATGGCGCCGTCTGTGGGAAGACGTTGAGCAAAACTGTGGCAACGTTTTCCTGTAAAAATCACCTTTATCTGTTTTTCGTTAACCAGTATACGTTTATCAATGGCCTCGTTTCCCAGCATAGTGAGGGATCTAACCAGTCAGATGGAGGCCGAAGCAACCCCAGCCCCGCAGGAGCACCAACCAGCCGTCGGAGAGGCCTCTACCGCTAGAGAGGAGACGCCGCGGGCAGCCAACAGTACGGGAGGTAGCCCCCTGGTCGCCATGACTATGGAGAATCTGCAGACACTCTTGGCGAGCGCTGTCCAGGAGGGCTCTGTGCGCGCGTTGAGGGAGCCCGAGGCTGCGTCGCCCAAAAGAAGGATGGGGGAGAGTGGGGGGCGAGGGAGCGAGGGCCTCGCCCGCGCAAATTCCTCGCTAAATGCATTAAGCCCTTTCTCAGCCGACATTCTAGATGACGATCTGCCTCACTCATTTCGACCTGTAACTTACGAATACTTGGGAACCACCGACCCTTGTGAGCATCTTTGTCGCTTCAATAACACTTCGGATCTGCACCGATTTACCGAGGGAGTGAAGTGTCGGGTCTTCGCAACTACGTTGGCGGGAGCCGCGCAGGCTTGGTTTAGCCAGCTGCCGGCGGGCACGATTGGCGGTTTCGACCAGCTAAGCGCATGCTTTATGGATCACTTCGCGAGCTCAAAGAACCAAAAGAGGAGCACCTTGACTCTGTTCGCGGTCCGGCAGAGGGAGGGAGAGTACCTGCGAAGTTTTATCAAGCGTTTCATCTCGGCGACCTTAGAGGTACCAGTTACCTCAGAGGAAGTTTTGATTAGCGCTCTAGCACAGGGGCTGCGGGCTGGCGATTTCTTCACGTCGCTCTCGAAAAAGCCGCCCGCATCCTTTAATGCTTTGTTAAAAAAGGCCGAGCGATACATGAACGCGGAGGAGGCAGTACATAATAAATTTGGCGAGAGCAAGGGCACCCTCGAGGCAAGAAGGGAAAAGAAAGAAGATAGAATGCAGAAGCAGACTCAACCGGCGAGAAGGGAGGTGCAGAGCGAGAGAAAAATAGGACCTCGTTTTGACAGCTATGCACCGCTAGTCGCACAACCAGGAGAGATATTGTTGGCCATAGAGAATAACCCAAAGTTAAAGTGGCCTCGCACGTACGCGGAAGCCCCGAAGAGAAGCCCCACGCTAGGGAGTTTCTGTCGTTTTCACAATGATTATGGCCACACCACCAACGAATGCCAACACCTTCGTGACGAAATCGAGAGGCTCATACGCGCGAGGAATCTGCCAGAATTTGTGAAAGAAGGGAACCAACGCCCGCAGCAGTTCCCAGCTCGGCGTGCGAGCGAGCCCCGCAAGCCTGAGCCGGGAAGGGAAAAGCTAAATGAGAGGAAGGACCAGGTGGCGCCTGCCAACTTCATCAGCATGATTTTGGGAGGACCTTCAGGAGGAGACTCCAACAGGGCCCGGCGAGCGCACCTGAGACAGTTGCGAGAGACGGAGGAGTTATTTGGAGAAATAGAAGAAGCAGATCGGGCAAGTCGTGCGCACCTCCGACGTTTGTGCGAGATGGAAGCTCAGCTCGAGGAGGTGCAAAGAATATCTTACGTGCCGCCCATTGTTTTCGGTCCCCAGGACGAAGAAGGAATCAGGCAGCCACATTCCGACGCCCTGGTGATTACTGCCATGGTAGCGAATTTCGATATCGCGAGAATATTAGTGGACACCGGCAGTTCCGCTGATGTTATCTACTATGATTGCTTCAGAAAGATGAATATGGATTTCGAGTTAAAGTATGTAGAGACGAGCTTGGTCGGGTTCTCGGGGGAGTCAGTGCGGTCGATCGGAGAGGTATGCCTGCCCATTTCCCTAGGAATGGAGCCGGTGCGAGCAACCCGATCCGTAAAGTTTCTGGTACTGGATGCGCCTTCTACCTACAACATCATATTGGGGCGACCGTCCATGAACTCATTTCAGGCAGTGGTCTCGACTTATCATATGAAGCTGAAATTCCCCGTCTTAGATCAAATCGGGGAGGTCCGAGGTGATCAAGAGACCTCGAGGAGGTGTTATTACGACGCCTTGAGAGGAATAGGAAACATAGATGCTATTCGCACTGTTTCCCCAGGTAGCCAGGGGAAGGAGGACCGGATGCCGGAAGTAGACCCCGCAAAAGAAGAAGCCCACGTGAAGCCGATGGAGGAATTAATGGTAATCCAGCTATGCGAGGAGGATGCCTCTCGCACCACCCGCATAGGTGGCGGTTTAGATGCAGACATGTCTCGACAGCTGGTTGAGTTTCTAAGACAGAATCAAGATGTGTTCGCGTTCACTCCAGCAGATCTCGGGAGTATCGACGAGCAGCTCGTGGTGCACCGATTGAATGTCAAGCAGAATGCGAAGCCAGTCAAGCAAAAGCGTCGGCATTTTGGAGCAGAGAAAGACAAAATTATACAGGAAGAAGTGCGGAAGTTGTTAGCAGCCGGACAGATCCGGGAGATCCGTTTTCCTACTTGGCTGTCCAATGCAGTTTTAGTCAAGAAGGGCGAGGGAAAGTGGCGAATGTGCATTGACTTCAGGGATCTCAACAAGGCATGTCCCAAGGACTACTATCCTCTGCCACGAATCGACCAGCTCGTAGACTCAACTGCCGGTTGCGAGATGCTAAGTATGATGGACGCCTCACAAGGGTACCATCAGATTCCCTTGTGTCCGGGCGACCAGCCCAAGGTAAGCTTCATCACCTCCACTGGAACTTACTGCTACACGGTGATGCCTTTTGGGCTGAAAAATGCGGGAGCCACATACCAGAGACTAATAGACAAAATGTTCAAGGACCAACTCGGAAGGAACATCGAGATATACGTGGATGATATGTTGGTGAAAAGTCAAAAGGCGAGCAATCATTTAGAGGATTTAAAAGAAACCTTCTGCACGCTCCGACGCTACGGCATGAAACTTAACCCCAATAAGTGTGCTTTTGGGGTGAAAACGGGAAAATTCCTGGGTTACATGGTAACGGAGAGGGGAGTAGAAGTGAACCCGGAGAAGGTGCAAGCGGTTTTGAATATGGAGGCACCGCGAAATATCAAGGAGGTTCAAATGCTGGCGGGAAGAATAACAGCTCTGAGTAGATTCATATCTAAGGCGGGAGAAGCTAGTCACCCTTTCTTTAAAATACTAAGAAAGGGGACTCAGTTCGAGTGGACGGAAGAATCAGGAAAGGCTTTCGAGCAGCTCAAGAATCTTCTCGCTCGTCTCCCGCTGTTGGCGAAGCCCGCGCCAGGAGAAAAGCTGTATGTATATCTTGCGGTAGGTGAGTTCGCAGTCAGCTCGGTCTTAGCCCGAGAGGAGGAAGGGGTGCAAAGCCCGGTATATTATGCGAGTAAACTCTTGCGAGGGGCGGAGGTGAGGTACTCCGAGATAGAAAAGATGGGCCTGGCGCTAGTAACGACAGCACGAAAGCTAAGGCCCTATTTTCTCTCGCACGCAATAGTGGTTCGGACTAACCACCCTATGAAGACAGTGATGGGAAGGA